AATGTCTGTTCCAAGTTTAGGGACTTGCCGTAAACCACAGTTTTTGAATTTCAACTCATCAGTTTTTGAATTCTAAAATCTGGGCCGGTTGTAATGCTTTTTTACACGAATTTTTGTGCCATGAAAATTGCAAAAAAATGCATATTTATAAAACGTGGCAAAGAAGCAAAATTGGAAATAATGGAGAGGCGAACGTTCCTCAGCAAATTTCATACCTCCTGGACCGGTGGTGGTGATAGACTCAAAAGTCAAAATGCAAATGGCAAATTCGAGTGAAGTAGTGCGTCATCGTAGAAAGCATTGGATAAACAATATTGGTAACTTTTAAACGTAAGCGAATGCAACCGCCTAGGAATACGCTAGTAATGCAGAATTAACTAGAGTGAAGTGAATTTTTCAAGGAGAGCTTTTCGGAACTTTCGTGTCTTGTGGCATTAAATTAGCTGTAGGAGTTGCATTATCAAAGTTCATTTTAGAGCTGACATGCACACATGTGCCTCCAGTAGCCAATGGCATTGTTATCACCGGTGAGCGATTTGAATTCGGTGATTTGGCTCGGATTGAGTGTCAACCAGGATTCCGGACTGTTGGTGCGGATTCGCTGAAATGCCTTGCCAATCAGACCCTAAGCGACGTTCCGCAGTGTCGCGACATTGATGAATGCGCAGAAGGAACGGCAATTTGTAGCGCCCAGAGCACAAAATGCATCAACATGCCTGGCGGCTATCACTGCCAGTGCCTTCCTGGATTTCAACCTCAGCTCTGTAAGGCTTATATTACATTATTTATATAGAGCAAAAAATTAACAAAGGATTTGTCTCCGGCCTTCCTCACTAGATGTTCATCTGAGAACTGGTTATTCCGCTTCAGTACAGAAATCAACTTACGTTTAACTTCCTGTGATCACCTGTCACTGGTCTCGTCGATACGTGAGTAGCACTATACTAGACTCTTCTATTTGTTTTTCAACAATTCATTATAATAGTCCTTGATGCGCCTGATTTTAGCATGCAGCACTGCATCCGTGCTTAGCACTCTCACAGAAGAGGGCACCAGCGAAATCGACGATTTTCGAGCAAAAGGGTATGCAACAACTGGTGAGCGTTTTTGATAAGCTTTGGCTGCTTTTCGCGATGGCTACAAAATCGCTAGAATCCAAGAGAGAAGTAGTCTTTCGAAATCAGTTGGCGGAAGGGAGAAAGAGCATCGAGCGCACTATGTTTGAGAAAATTTTAGCGGTGTGAGAGGCATCGCTATTATCAATCGAACAGCCTGTTTAAAGTCTGAAATTTATTGATACAATACCAAGAGATTTTTTAAAAATTGTGCGTCTGAAGCCTGTTAAAACACTTGCTCTTTGCAGGATGGTGCGCGGAGGAAACAGATCCGAGTCGTAAAATTACATTCACGTTTGCAGTTCCTAAAGTTATTGAGAGGCTGCGCGTAGAGAAAACTGCCAATGGCGCCTATCCAACGATAATTGGGCTGAAATATTCAAACCGTACTGGTGTTCCGCTTATTCCCTATGCTGTAGCAAATTTTTCCGTTAGTTATTCAAATTTTCGAAGTGTGTGTGTGTTTGTGTGTGTGTGTGTGTGTGTGTGTGTGTGTGTGTGTGTGTGTGTGTGTGT